TCTCATATCTTGGACGATGAAAGACTTACATAAAAACCAGACATATCGTCAGATTGGCTAAGAGGAGACGAACAATTTGATGGGTCACTCTCCTTGTCTCGAATACATAGGAAAGCAGAAAAGTAGAGCTCGGGAACCATTCAGTGTATAATTTCATAATTCATATCTACTCAATCCTCAGACGTGTCTGGATCATAATCTACCCGCGGGTGGAGTGTCACTTGTGCATAGGAAAAGTTATGAGCCAAAATATGAACTAGACGAGATTTTGGTTCTAGTTTTAGGGCTACGCCCAGACCTCCATGCCCTAAATGGGGTATTGGTCCTTGACTTCAGAGACACTCCCTGCTGGGGAACTACAAATTGGGCTGTCGGGCCTAAGAGAAGGAAGTTAAAGAAGTCTCCCATTTTAACATCAGTGCCACCTGGGGAGACCCATGCCCTTTCGCTCTGAAACTTGGATCTGCTAACCCAGGACTTTGGCAAGTACCTTAACCCTTTCACCTCTCTCTGATATCTCTTAGCTGTGCTGTTGGTCTCTGTATATTTATACAGTATATATATCTTAGTTACATCTTTTTCTGTAAATATTTTTATTGCACCCCTTTGACCTTTCAGTAATAAATCTTTCCTTCTGAAAGTGTTGAACTGTTTCTATAGCTCTGTATTGCAATTTATGAATTCCTGCCTCTAAAGAGAACGCTACTGTGTTTGTTTAACCCTCTGTATAACCGTGTTATACAGACGATTATCTCAACCATTATAGTGTTAGAACTGATATTGCTGAGTTTCCTCTTTCTCTGTACAAAAAGGAGGTGGTGGCAGTGTGAAGGGTTAATTGTGTAATTAACCTGACCCAGTAACAATCGCTCAGGCTGCCGGTACATCGATTGTGGTCCAATTAGCTGGAAAATCATTGTGCAGGGTACAGCTGGGTGTGGCATTGTTACGCACGTGACATCGCGGTTTTAGATTGGCTAGTCCTTCGGTCACGAGTTTGGTGAGAAGGGCTGGGGTCTGACACCGCATCCGTCACACATATTGGACGTCGTGATCATGGGATCGTCACATGTTGGTGGCAGCGATCTCGCAATCGTGACACCTACTACTACTAACTTTCAGGGATATTGCCCCAAACCCTGGCCTACACCATGTAACTCTCACCCCCAGAGCCAGCAGTCATCCTTCTCTGGCAGCAGCTGCAGCCCTCAATCTTATTTCACTGCTTCAGCAAGCCAGCCCCCCTCATATATGCCCTCTGGTATTCCTGCTCAGTCTTTTGCAAAATTTTGTCAATTATTTTTTCCTCTCCAACTCCCTCAACTTACTTACTGTTATTGAAAACCTGCTCCAGGAATCTGACTCTTCTCTCCCTCTCCAGCTGCTTCCAATGGTGACTTCCTCTGGACTCACTCACCCAGACCCAACAGATGAAGATTATGGAGCTGGACTTCTCCTTTCCCTTTCTCCCTAAAGCACTTTTCAGGTTTTTCCTACACCTCCCTCACTGTCCCTTAGCTGTTTTGAAGTGAACTGTATTCGTATTTTTACTCCAGTTGGCCAGAAGGTCAGTAAATGACTGCAATCCTCAGACAAAGTGCCAAGCTTTCTCGATGACTGCTCTGTATGGCTACCCTACTTTCTGTCCTCTGAAGTAACCTCAGCCACTTCTCAACTACTCAACCGACCCTCTTCTTTTAACCTAATGCAAAAGGCACAAATCACCACTCACTCCAATGGCAACACACTCTATCTTGGATTCTCTCCCTCTGTACTCCCCGACCGCTCTAACACCTTTTTCTCTCTCTGATTACAACCATATCAGTTTCACACTCTTCTTTTCTCCAGCCTCCTAGGCCTCTAAGCAGCAAACAGTTACCCACAGAAACCTTCACCGCCTCAATCCTTCCCATTTTCACGCTGCTACTGTCATGGTCTGGAGTATGACCAGTACCTATAGCAGTAGAGAGGCACCCACTGATGAGCTGCATAAGTACAGATTCAGGTCACCCTGGAGGATGACACGGGCTCATCTGAGGTGCAGAGTTTAAGTACTATCTGGTGAACACCAGAGCTGCTGATGGTGGAGATGTGTTTTGCTGCATGTTAGCACCAGGTTGCGGTCTGCAGGATCGCCCCACCAAGAGGTGAGCAAGCCAGGGTCCAGCAGCAGACATAGCAGGTAGGGATAAAAAGAAGCATAGTCAGTAAAGAAGTCAAAGGTTGGTAATGAGTCATTACAGGTTGGGATCATGCAGAAGCATAATGTAGGAAGAAGCCAGATTGGTAACGAGTGGTAGCAAAGATACCTACGAGTGAGAAGAGTGAGATATAATCTCCACTCCCCAGCTCACCCTCTCAATCTCCTCACGTATCACAAATCTACTAAGCCACATATTAGCATGGATGTCACATCACTACCTTAAACTCAATCTTTCAAAAACTGAGCTTGTAATATTTCCTCCTCCCCAATCCCCCCACTCACGACTTTACCATTAAGATCAACCGCACAACCATTGGTCTTTCTCCTCATGCCAGGGTGCTAGGCGTAATCCTAGACTCTGACCTCTCCTTTGGGCCCCACATCCACTCACTGGCTAAATCCTGCTGCCTCAACCTCCGGACCATTTCCAAAATCTGCCCATTCCTGACCAATGACACCACAAAACAACTTATCCATGCCTTGGTTATATCCCGCCTCGATTACTGCAACTCCCTCCTCACTGGTCTACCGTTACATATGCTATCCCCCCTTCAGTCTATTATGAATGCTGCTGCTAGACTCATACACCTTACCAACCGATCAGCGACTGCTGCCCCTCTCTGCCAATCCCTTCACTGGCTTCCACTAACCCAACGTATAAAATTAAAAATGCTAACTAAAATACTAACCACAGCTCACAAAGCCATCCACAACACTGCCCCTAGCTACATCTGCAACTTCATCCACAGATACCTCATCCACAGATACCACCCAAAATGCCTACTCCACTCCTCCCCCTTCCTCTCTAGCTCCCTCAACACCTCCTCCCATGCTCACCTCCAGGACTTCTCCAGAGCCTCTCCCATCCTCTGGAACTCCCTACCACAACATGTCGGGTCAGCCCTCACCCTGTTTGCCTTTAGGCGATCTTTGTAAACTCAGTTCTTCAGGGAAGCCTACCCCACCTCCACCTAAGAACTGTACTTGAATCACCTCCACCAGATCATCCCCCGAAACTATCACCTTTTGTATCACCTCCCCCTTCCTTTAGATTGTAAGCTCCACGAGCAGGGCCCTCACATTCCTTCTGTACTGAAATGTATTGTAATTGTACTGCCTCCCTTATATTGTAAAACGCTGCACAAACTGTTGACGCTATATAAATCCTGTATAATAATAATAATAATATTTTGCTGGTGAGAACACAATAATCTGGCAAACAATGGCATAGTTTAAATCTGGAAGTTCATGGGAGGAGCATAGAGTTCAAGCTTGCCAGAAAAACTGGGTTCAAAGCAAGATCATTCAAGGAATTGTCCAGGGAGCAGTTCAGCATCTCACATGGCTCAGTAAGAAGAGACATCAACAGAGACAGCAGAGTTTGTAAGTTCAGACCCAGACCCTGACAGTAGTACTCCCCTCCTGAACAAAAAAGTAGCAATCACCCCAAAGTATAGCTAGCCTTTGCAGCAAGGTGCACATGGAAGGCAACGCTCATCACAAACAAAGATTTCCCAGAACACTTACAAGCTAGCCTTCAATAAAACAAATTGAGCCTGTCTAACAATTCACATTAAAAACAGAGGGTTGTGTTTGTAAATATATGCATAAAGCCGCAGTGCCTATGTCAAAGTTCCTCTGTGTACTGTGGTCCTAAGTCTTTAATTTTCAGAGTCTACAAAGTTGAAGCAGATAAGGCAGTGGATAGATTAAGAGTAGGTTTGAGCACAATGGCAGCTGAACACAGCTAGTGTGCCTCCGCATCAAATTAAACCAAAAAAATGGCAACCATCCCAACCTATAAGTAGCCTTGTAGTAAGATGCACATGGAAGGGTAATGCACATCACAAAGATTTCCCACTACACTTACAAGCCAGCCTGCAAAAAAACCCAAAAAACAAATTGACCCTGTCAAACAACTCATGTTAAAAAAAGAGGGTTTGGTTTGCATACCGTTGCAAATATATGTGTAAGCTGCAGTGCCTACATCAAGGCACTTCTGTGTACTACAGTCCTAACTCTAAATTACAGAGTCTCCAAAGCTCATAACAGTAATAGAGGTGACATTTTCTAACGGGGACATTCTGGTGCTTCTAGTGATACATTGGGATTCCCTCACTTTGGAGGGATTTCTTCTCACTTCCTGTTTTAGCTATGGGACAGGAAGTGAAGTGAAATCTCCACAATGGGCACAGTTGGCAAAAAAAAAAAAATCTTACAGGAATTATAACCCGCCCATACTATATCCCACATTTGTCACACTGTTTTGACCTTTTATTGTAAAGCCAGGTAGATTACCTGTTATAAAAAAAAATAAAATAAGTCCTTCTGTTCTAGGGTAGCTAAAACAGTATAAAAGAGACACATTACCGCAGCATGTCAAATTCCTTTAACCACTTGCCCTCCAGAGGATTTACCCCCCTTCGTGACCAGGCCATTTTATGCATCACGGCATTACTTTAACTGACAACTGTATGGTCATGCAACGCTGCACCCAAATGCAATTTACGTTCTTTTTTTTCCCACAAATAGAGCTTTCTTTCAGTGGTATTTTATAGCCTGTGTGTTTTTTATTTTTTGAGCTATAAACAAAAAAAGACTGACAATTTTGCTATTAAACATCTCCAATAAAAAAAAATTAAAAAAATTTAAATTCGTCATAAATTTAGGGCAAAATGTATTCTGCTACATGTCCCAATACTTGTAAATTAATTTGTTTATGTGGAAGTTATAACGTTTACAAATGGCGGTATATATACTGGAATTTTTTTTTTCTTTTACTAGTAATGGCGGCGATCAGCGACTTATAGCGGGACTGCGGAGGGCATTCTGACACTGGGGGGAATCGACTTGGTGTCACTGACATCCCCAGTGACACCAATACAGTGATCAGTGCAAACAAAAAGCACTGACATTGTACTAATGGCACTGGGCAAGAAGAGGTTAACATGTGGGGCGATCAAAGGGTTAAATGTGTGCTGTATGCTGTTTCACATTATGTGCTGTGTGTGCTTTCAACTGTAAGCACACTGCTATGCAGAGCCATACAAAGTCGTGTGCAGGAGCGGAAGGGAGAGAACTGTATTGTTTACAACTGTCTCCCCCATCGGTAAGGCTACATGCACACTGGGCATTTTAATAATGCTGGTAATGTTAGCTGTGTAAAGTCACCTTAAAAACGTGAGTTTTTCAGCATTTTTGCATTAGCGTTCAGTGGCGTTTTGCTGCATTTGCATTTTTTAGCGTGTTTTTTTACCTGTAAAAAAAAGCTGTTTTGCCATGTTAGAGAGTCAGCATTAGAGCATTTTTATAGCTAAAAAACTCCTCTAGAAACCCACTAGTTCTGGGTGGTTTTTTCCCAGCCAAAAAAAAGCTGATTACAGTCTATGTGTGCATGGACACATAGGATAACAGGCTGGGGAGCTTACTGGCTATAGAAAAAAACATCAAAAGCCAAAAACAGCAGCTATAAAAACATCCAGTGTGCATGAGGACTAATACTCAGTGATCACGGGGTGCCGGCGAGTAATCACCCGGTGATTGACAGCTGAGCTGCGAAACTGCAAAATCACGCGGGAAACCAATTGGACACTATGCTCCAGGTAAGACCTGGAAGTGCACCTTAGAAACAGATTCACCACTGGATTGAGAAAGGTAAGTAACCCCTTATCTACTCCATCAAATAATATATAATCGAAATGTTCCTCCAAAAACCGCTCCCCAACACATCAGGCTGCCATGCTGTTCCAGGTTGTTGCCAATCTTTGTAAAAATTCAAGTTCCAAACTACATTGCCAGCTTATGATAGGTCACACCAGAAAATGTTGGTTATTTACCAGAACTACATGGTGCAAAATCCAGTGCAGCTCTGCATAAAAAACAGCATCTAGGTTTTATTGTCAAGCTTAATTGAACAAGTTGAAGTTAGAAGCTGATTGGCTACAAAGCACATTTGCACCAGATTCTGAGTGCACCAGTTTTAGTAAATCTCCACCAATGCATTTACTGATGGGTGTTCTAACTGTCAGATTATACTATCTTGCCTAGGGCCCATTTCGTCTTAATCCAATTTTTGCACCACATGATGTGAGAATTGACTGCAGTCTTCTTTCATTTCAGGTAGCAAGAGCTGTACAATGGAAACTCCTCCAGGACATCTCCTGAAAGAAACTTGTGAATAACTGTGCATTTGCATTTAAAATGAAATAAAGTGTGTTACTCCTGCGCTACCAAAACTAAATTAATCAGTGTGACCAAGCAATAATCTGAGCTATCATAAATGTGTGTATATGTTTTTAAATAATTAAAGCGACTGCAAGCATCTAAATATGTTCTCACATGGATAAAGTAATTGACGTGATCTAGTGTTGATGCTGTGCTACTATCAATACAAGTGCATAAACAAAAAATGAAAAATAATGAATACAGTATATGTAACAATAGCAAAAATAAACCTGTACAATTCTATATTCAATCACATATCAATATCCTGAAAGTCCATGACGTTCATAATATTATAATGATAATCCTCCACCAAGAGATTAGAGTATTAGAAATGCTTTTCCACTTGACATAATTATGTGTCACCTCAATAGGTGATTTGAACACCTCAATCCAATGATTTGGAGAGGTGTCCCAAAACATTGGCAATATAGTGTATAGTGGTGTATACTGTAATATAGTGATCAATCTTCCTCCAGTGCTTGCAACCTCCTTGACCTCCAGACCACTAGGGGTTCTCCACTCCTTCCTCCTTAAGAACCAGCATCAAGGAGTGTGGTGCCTTTAAGGTTCCTATACATTCAATTGCCACCATTTACGTTGCCCATATGGGAGGGAAAAGAACAAATATGCCTTGTGTTGTGTAGTATGTTAAAATTCCAAATTTATTAAAATAGTAATGCACTTACATAATGTAATATTAAAAATGTTTTTAGAGTATACAGAGCACTGTTTATACTTGCAGATGATGTCACTTCTGATCCGCGTCTGCCTCCCCTCAAGTTCTATGCATTACGTCACAGTCACGTGACTTCATCAGGAGATGATGAAGTCATGTGACTGAGACGTAGCGCGTAGGGTGTGAGCGCCTCTTCTTGTGCTTCTTCTTCAAACCTCTTTTACAAAGGAGCTGATTGGGGCTCCAAAACACGTTAGCTTGGCAACGAAGGTTGCGGATCCACCCTCCCCTGATGTCTCTTCCGGTTGTGAGGTCCACGGTGGTTTCTGACATCACTTCCAGTTCCGCGTCTTATGGCGATCTTGGAAGTCTGGCCCCATACAACGCTGCTGTGTGCGGATCATGCGTCGATACTTCTTACAGTGGCTGACACATATCCAAAAACATCCACAATGGTGTAGCGTGCCAGTTCACAACTTATGCAAAATCCTGCTACACAAAAAATTAGAGAGCCACCTGACTGATTATTTCGCATTTAATTCCCCTTATTGACAATCCGTTTACCTTGCAGAATGCACACAAGGCTTACATCCAAGGTATCTTTATCAAATTATGTGCAAGGGAAAATAAACAGAGACAGCACCAAATAGACAACCTTTTCTCATATATACGCTCTTTAGAAGATCAGAATAAACTTAAACCCTCTCAGCAGATAACTACTAAGTTATCTCAATTAAGATACGAACTACGGTAAACACTGTTGTATAATTACAAAAAATATGTTAAAAGGGTGAAAATGCAGTTCTATTCCTCCGATAATAAAGTGGGCATGGAACTAGCACGCATAATACAAGGTCAGCGTTTTAAAACGAGAATACAATTTCTAATCAACCCCAAATCACACAACAAAGTTTATGACAATCAGCAGATTGCAGATGTATTTAGCGAGTACTATAGTTCTCTTTATAATTCATGCCAAGATAATCAAGTCTATCAACCTTCCTTAGATGATATAGACAACTTCTTAGATAAATTAAAGTTACTGCAGCTTTCTAACTTACAGCTCCAAAACTTGAATTCTCCCTTTTCCTTACCTGAAGCGCTCCAGGCTATAGGCACACTACCTAACAACAAATCCCCGGCCCTGATGGCCTAACTGATTAATATTATAAACAATTTAAAAGTACACTATTCCCATATCTTAAAACATGTGTATGACGAAGCTATGTTAGTAGCTATGATAGTGACGTTACCTAAGTCAGGGAAACCACCGGAAACTCCCCTTAACTTTAGTCCTATATCTTTCCTGAATAACGATATAAAAATTTACGCAAAAATGCTGGCGCTTCGTTTGGTAGATATTTTACCCACCTTAATTCACCCTGACCAGTCTAATTTTACCAAAGGGAGACAGACCTCCAACGCCAATAGGCGGGTGATGAACATCTATCATCTGGCAAGGAGATATCGGACGCCTTCTCTGGTGCTGGTTTTAGACACAGAGAAGGCGTTTGATAGAGTAAATTGGTTGTTTCTACAAAGAGTGCTTCTTAGATTCAGATTTCAGGGACATGCTATTGGCTATTTTGGCCTTGTATACTCTTCCATCTGCACGAGTTTATACTTCAGGTGTGTTGTCGAAACTTTCCAAATAACTAATGGCTCCCATCAGGGATGCCCTCTGTCTCCACTCATTTTCAATCTCATGTTGGAGCCCTTGGCCTCTAGCATTAGACAACAGCCTGATATCACTGGTTTCCAATTCAAAAGTAACAAACATGTTATAAGCTCGTTCGCAGACTATGTTATTTTAATGCTGACTAATCCATTGTCCTCCTTAGATTATGTGGTACAGTTACTTCACCAGTATGGTATGGTATCATATTACAAAGTTAATGATGCTAAATCCCACATACTTGATTTAGGGGTACTACCACAACATAGATATAAATTACAATCTAAATTTCCTACCTATGGAAAGACTCAGGTATTACTTATTTAGGCATCACACTTACAACCTGCCCTGGCCAACTATTTAAAGCTACCTACTTGCTGCTGGAAAACAGGTTAAAAGAGGGTCTATTATCATTAAGCAAACAAGTTTTATCATTGTGGGGTTGATAAGTGGCATTTAAGATGCAGTTACTACCTCAGATTCTGTATGTATTTCGCTCTGTACTTATTCCGGTAAATAAGAAGTTCTTTCATACCCTACAGTCTATACTACACAGATTCCTTTAGGAGGGGAGAATAGCACATTGTGCATTTACTAAATTGATTAAAGCGAGATCCGCAGGGGGAATGGGACTGCCAGTTATTTCTGATTATCATCTAGCTGCAATTCTAGCACAACTGTGGTACTGGTTTCCAAATTCACCCACTTCTATATGGGGGGAGCTTGAACAAACAGAAATCCCAGGCAGGAACCTATATACGTATCTACTGTCTTACCCTTACCTTAGTGATAATCCACAGAAATTCTCGCCACCAATACTAGCGACGCTGACTGAGTGGAAATCACTAAACACCTCCTTAGGTAAATTATTCCAGATTCCAACTGTCCAATTGTCCGTTCCAATCTCTATATATGCCATAAAGGATCTAGACTTAGGACAATGGAAAATGCATGGTATACAGCAGATATCAGACTTAGTTGCAGATTCTTCTCTGAAATCTTTTTGCTTCTCTGCAAAGAGAATTCCACTTACCAGACTTAGAATGCTATTCCTATTTCAGAGTAGCGTCTTTCACCCGTAAAAATATCCTCATCAAATATGAGCTTCCATGGACAGTTTGACGTTACTACATGTCCAAGACTATTAGCAAAGGAGGGATTTCGACGATTTATAACTTTTTTAGTGGCAAAACACTGTTTGCTAAACCGCCCTCTATCTTATCCTGGGAAAGAGACCTTGCTAGCTCTTACGTACAAAGGCAAAAAGCCTTACAGTATACATTTACCGCTACCAAATGTGCTAACCTATGGGAAATTACCCACAAAATTATATTAAGGTGGTACCATACTCCACATAGATTGTCTAAATGTCATTCCTCTCGATCTCCATTGTGCTGGAGGCAATGCAAGCAGACTGGTACTTTATATCACATGCTTTGGTCATGCAGTAAATTAGAATACTTTTGGCTATCAGTGTTTGATATTCTCACCCAGGTCACTGGACTATCTATTTCACCCTCTCCTGCACTAGCTATTTTGAACCTGGGGATAGAGGATATTCCTCTTTCCTTTAGACAATTTACGACTCATTTATTCTTGGCAGCAAAACTGGCAATCCTACTCATATGGAGATCACCATCTTCCCCTAATATAAATGAGACCATACAGATACTTCACACTCACTACACATATGAAAATATGTTGGCTATTAATGCTGGGAAATATTCCACCTTTAGTAAGAACTGGCAGGTTTGGAATCTCAAAGGAAAACGTATATGTAAACGTACTGTATTTTTTGCTCCGTAAGTCCCCCCCCCCCCCCCCCCAAAAAGGGGGAAAATTTCAGAGCGTCTTATGGAGTGGCCAGTCCGCTATTTCCGCTGCCGACACCGTGTCAGAAGACCGGGCCGGGCGCTCAGCTGTTCTCTGCAGCAGGACCTTACCTGTTCCTCGGTCCAGCACTGGTATCTTTGGTGTGGGCTCCCGGCT